ACCTATTGCAATAAAACGGCAATTTCATACTTTAACCCCTAATAAATAACATTGTAAAGTTAAAATAGTAGGTAAGGAATTTTTAGGAGTTATAGGTAACTAATTTTAATTGCAAATGGTGACTTTATGGTACTACCGGAAAATAATTCAGTACAAAACATGAGTTAAGAAATCATCATAAAATTGTAACTATGAAATAAAAGCGTCTTATACGCACATTTATTTAGAAATATATAACGATACTTAAAAATAACAACTGTTTGAACAACCTAAATTTAATAAGACCGAAACTTATTCACAATATTCATAAAATAATACATACATTGTATGTATATTGTACATGTTCTAAATGTATAATATACGTATAAAATCTCTGACCATTATGTGGTTTTTAGTAACGAATGTACCTGCTGAAAAGTCCATGTTTCATCTTCGAAGAGGAAGCAACTTTTATGAGGATGTTTCTTCACCACCTGGTGAAAGATATCAGGCATTGACCAATTGTTCTTTGTGAAATTCCTTGTTAATTTTAATATTTTTATATAGCACCATATTGCCCTGAAAGTGTGAATTTACACTGGTTTAATTTCCTTGATGATGACATAAGTAGGAATTGTTTTATTTTACCATTTTAAATAACCCGTTATCGAGATTTACATTCAAATTATGATATATCGATTGTTCATCGCAAATACAATTATTTAAGAAACAAAATAAATAATTTAGTGTGTACTTAGAACGATACGATACATATTTTGAACCAAAAAAGAGAAGTCGAATCAATTTAATTTGGTACACATGATAAGTGTAATAAGTAATGACATAATAATTAAAACGTTATTATAAAAATAAAACCGATCTCAAAAGTTTATGGGATTACATCTACATAGGGCGCACTATAAGTTTCCGGAACTGGCCACTTACATAAAGAATATTTAAAAAGTAATTACAAAATTTGAAAATGGAACTCTTTGGCTGTAGAATACAGTTTGTTTCATCTGACTGTCATTTGTTTTTACATTGTGCGGCGTCTTTTTAGAAATTGGTTGTCCACGTCAGCATGGATTTAACTCGTGAAAATTTTCGTAGTATGATTTTCTACGACTTTAAGTGTAATGTAACGGCTCAGCGGAGCTTAGCTCGGCTTTAAACTGCTTTTGGCGATGAAGCACCATGCAACGACTACCCATTTATAGCTGGTTTGCAGAATTCAAACGCGGTCGTGTGAATCTCAGTCGCGAATTTCGTGATGATCGCTCGTCCACCGCTGTGAACAACAAAAACATCGATGCTGTGCGCCGTATGATCAAAACAGTCAGGCATGTGACATACCATGAGATTCGGGCATCTTTAGGCATAGGCATGAGTCAAATATAGTGAATACTACATGGTTACCAGATTCAACGAAGGGGCGTCAAATTTGGTGTGGGACACCGCAACAGGTGACGAAACATGGATTTATAGTTACGAGCCCAAAACAAAGCAGCAATCGAACGCATGGGTCTTTCGAGATGAACTGAAACCAACCAAAGTGGCGCGCGTCCAAAGTGCCTCTAAGCGGATGATTGCTTCTTTTTGTCATAAAACTGGACACGAGGCTTTTATTTTGGAGAATCGTTGTACTGTGAATAGTGATTGGTACACGACCATTTGTTTGCCGGAAGTTATTGACAAACTCCGTAAAAATAATCGTAAACGCCGTATCATCTTGCACCACGATAATGCCAGTTCTCATACGGCCAGACAGACAAATGAATTTTTTAAGGTGAACAACGTTGATCTTATGAGCTATCCCGCGTACAGTCCCGACCTGGTACCTTGTGACTTTTATTTATTTCCAGAAATTAAGAACCAGTTACGCGGTCAGCGATTTTTATCACCTGAAGAGGCTGTCGAAGAGTATGAAAAATATGTTTCAGAGATTGTCACGGAGAAGTGGAATAAATGTTTTCAAAATTGGTTCATTCGTATGAAAAAGTGCATTAACGCTAACGGAGAATATTTTGAGAAACAATAAATTCATTTCTGACCATTTAGTATTTAGTATATTTAGTATAGTATTTTTTCTTATTCATTCCGGAAAGTTATAGTGCGCCTCACTTATGTATTTGCCAAGTTTTATTGAAATCGGTTAAGTAACAGGAATTTGGTGAAATCTAATTTGCCACTCTCAGAGGTGGAATATTTCCTTGAAATTTAAATGGAAACACCAGTGAAATATCCGCTTTCCAACAAAAAAATAATTATCGAAATTGGTTCACAAATGTCCAAATGTCAGAGTAATTGCGTAACACACACAAAAAAATACAGCCGAACTGAGAACCTTTTCTTTTTTTAAGTCAGTTAAAAAATAGTAAGTACTATAAAAATTACTTACGACATGTCTCGAGAGAAGGTCCTAATAGCAATATAAATCCATTTCCTATGCATGACTATGTTGTACACAAACACCAGAATACCGACGACAATCATACTGGTCTTCCAATGTAGGATCTCTAATGCGACTGCGCACGAAGCTGCAAGCACTCCAATCGCGAGAATCATCGCTGTTAGTCTTTCCCGACTCTTTGGATCGTTTGCAAGTAACAATACTTTGCCTTTTTTCGCTCTTTTACTTAATTCATGTGTAAGAAAGTACGTACTAAATGTTATACTTAGTACATACGTAATGTTTGCCGGCTACAACTTGAAAATAAATCCGTTAGGCTATTTTATCAACCAATCCGTTTTTATAGATAAAGGATATCTAATCTTTAGGTTTGGAAATCGATTATCTATCACATGTTGCTTGACATAATATAGCCGCATAGGCGTTATCTTAGGACGATTAACCTCGAAAACATTCACGAGAACTTCAAAAATTTACTTCTTCATTAGTAAAAAAATAATCAATGAAAGTTGCGAGTCTGTTGGCATAAAAGTCACAGATTGCACAAGTCTCCTATGTTTGAAAGATCAGACGAGTGCATATTTTCTTTTTGTTACAATGTATCTCAGACTACAGAAACAAACTTAGTACACGTTATGAGGTTTCGACTGCTGAATGTGTCTGTTCTCAGAGCAGTAATTGTGCGAAGTATATAACTTATTTATAAGATCATTGTTGTTAAATACTTTAGTAATTTCTATGACTGCATAACTGATATAATATACTAATATTATTCTAATCTACCATTCTTTCGGATCTAAATCACGTATATTTGTATTATTAGTCAGGCGTGACCATGAGACGTGTAAAGGTAGGCCCACGGATCAAAAACGTTGGTTTGTTTAAAAAAAATACACTAGATTTAGATCCGAAATATAGTTTCATTTCCCATTTACAACAACAATAATTAACGAAAAATATATTTTTAGGGAGACTTACGTGAGGCGCACTATAACTTTCCGGAATGAATAAGAAAAAAATACTATAAATGGTCAGAAATGAATTTTTAGCGTTAGCCTTAATGCACTTTTTTACTCTCGAGACATGTCGCAAGTATTTTTATAGTACTTACTATTTTTTAACTGACTTAAAAAAAAAAAAGAAAAGGTTCTCAGTTCGGCTGTATTTTTTTTTTGTGTGTGTTACGCAATTACTTCGATATTTGGACATTTGTGAACCAATTTCGATAATTATTTTTTTGTTGGAAAGCGGATATTTCACTGGTGTTTCCATTTAAGTTTCAAGGAAATATTCCACCTCTGAGGATGGCAAATTAGATTTCACCAAATTCTAGTTACTTAACCGATTTCAATAAAACTAAGCAAGTACATATGTGAGGCGCCCTATAGTTTCCGGAATGAATAAGAAAGAAATACTATAAATGGTCAGAAATGAATTTATTGTTTCCCAAAATATTCTCCGTTAGCGTTAATGCACTTTTTCATACGAATGAACCAATTTTGAAAACATTTATGCCACTCCTCCGTGACAATCTCTGAAACATATTTTTCATACTCTTCGACAGCCTCTTCAGGTGATAAAAATCGTTGACTGCGTAACTGGTTCTTAATTTTTGGAAATAAATAAAAGTCACAAGGTGCCAGGTCGGGACTGTACGCGGGATGGCTCATAAGGTCAACGTTGTTCACCTTCAAAAATTCATTTGTCTGTCTGGCCGTGTGAGAACTGGCATTATCGTGGTACAAGATGATACGGCGTTTATGGTTATTTTTACGGAGTTTGTCAATAACTTCCGGCAAACAAATGGTCGTGTACCAATCATTATTCACAGTACAACGATTCTCCAAAGCAACAGTAGCCACGTGTCCAGTTTTATTAAAAACAGAAACAATCATCCGCTTAGAAGCACTTTGCAGGCGCGCCACTTTGATTGGTTTCGGCTCATCTCAAAAGACCCATACGCTCGATTACTGCTTTGTTTTGGGATCGTAACTATAAATCCATGTTCCGTCACCTGTTACTATGTCCCACACCAAATTTGACGCCCCTTCGTTGAATCTGGTAAGCATGGCATTGCACCAAGTGACGAGATTCATTTTTTGAGCCTCAGTCAAATTGTGTGGGATCCACGGAGAGCACAGCTTTTTCACACCCAAATGTTTGTGTAGTATTGATTGTGCCTATGCCTAAGATGCCCCAATCTCATGGTATGTCACATGTCTGTCTGTTTTGATCATACGGCGCACAGCATCGATGTTTTGTTATTCACAGCAGTGAACGGGCGACCATCACGAAATTCGTTTTTGTTGTTCACAGCAGTGGAAGGGCGACCATCACGAAATTCGTCACTAAGATTCACACCACCACATTTGAATTCTGCAAACCAGCTATAAATAGTCGTCTTGCATGGTGCTTCATCGCCAGAAGCAGATTCAAATCGAAGCTCCACTGAGCTGTTGAATTACACTTCAAGTCGTAGAAAATCATACTACGAAAATTTTCACGAGGTAAATCCATGGTGATGTAGACAATCAATTTCAAAAATGACGCCACAACGTAAAAACAAGTGATAGTCAGATGAAACAAACTGTATTCTACAGCCAAAGAGTTCCATTTTCAAATGTTGTAATTGTTGTAATATGTAATAAGACGTGCTCTAATGCAGTAGACACAGTACAGAAGTAATATATAAATACAAAAAAACTATTCGTTCGTTTACAGATACTGTGTTTTATTAATATAGATTTCAGTTAACGATGCGTCTCAGGGTTCAGGCAGCAATAATTTATTACAGATTATAATTATCTGTGTTCAAACATATCTATACACATATATGATGATGTATCTATCATACAGCTTGAATTTTGAGTGATTGAGTTGAGTGAGTGATGAGTGGTTTGACAACATTAGACAAGATTCAGGCACACAAATCAGCGTGTTATAGGAGCCAAGTTTAATGTAGCGAAAATTTGGAATGAACTACCTCCGCTTTTAAGGCGTAAAATTACTGTAGATACCTTTAAAAATAAGTATAAATCAGCATTAATCAAGAAGCAGCTTGCTGCAGAAAATCTGAAACACGGATTTCTTCAATTAGACCCTACTACTATAATATACAATATACTCCACGCAATTTCATATATACTCCACGCAATTTTATATATACTTTGCACAATTACTGCTCTGAGAACAGATATATTCAGGAGTCTGAGATACATTATACGAAATATCATGCGATTCATCAATGTAGAGTTGGAAGATAGCTTTTATTATTCTTTAAACAAAAATATATGGCATTGTAGTAAATCAAATTCTTTCCCTGGAGCAGAAACCTCCTAGACGTCTCCATGGAGGAGACTCGTATCCGGAAATGTTAATAAAAAACAGTACCAGCTATAGCTATGGTGCACACCGGCGCAGGTTCAGGGGGCGCCAAGCGCCGCCCTCGAAGATTCCGAAAAACCCGCGTCTCTCACAGCTGAAGCAAAATAAACGGGCTATTAAGAATAAAAATACATTTATCGCATAACTATAAATATAGGTAATGACCAGGGATAGGAATAGGTAGTTTTTTTTACCTAAACTTCGAGGAACATGGACGGAAAATGGAGACTGCCTTACGATGGCCTTACGCCAAAATTTAATGTGTATGGGAAAAAAATAAAATGTGTATTTTTGTATAAGACAATACCTACCTTTAGTGCCACATCGTTACAAAGTCTTAGTATGCACACTAAACGCGCTCCCAAACCTGCCTTATCACTACTTAATTTGCATATTTTCTGACGCGTATAAGTAGTGAATCTACTGCGATCTCAACTAATTAGAACTCGGAATCAGAACCAACAGATTTAAAGAAAGTTACTATAAAATTTCCGTAGCTTTTACGTTTGGATCTTCTCTGCCTGGGGCATAAGTTGAAACAAGTTTAACAAGATCATTTTGATTGTAGCCCTTAATGTCTAAAAATAAACACATTGTTTTGCCCTCAACACTAAAAAAGGCACTGCTAACGTTTTTATTAAAATTGAGATATAACATATTCGGGATCAGGAAAAAAGGGTAATCAACCTATTTTTTTTTCTATCTCAATATATTTTTTTAACTGTTGGATATACAATAAGTTCAAAATGCAAAACTCAAAAAGTCATATGTGACTTGTATTATGTTAAAAACACTAAAATCAAAAGATTTTAGTAGCAGTAGAGTTGCTTGTGAAAGAGTTCGTCCAGGGAAGTACTGCCACCTTACCTTTTTCTGCCGCCAAGCAGTAATATGAGCATTACTGCGTTCCGGTTTTGAAGAGTAAGGGTGCTGGTGAAATTAAAGGCACATGGGACTTTTCAATTTATGTCTCAGGCGCAGAGGCAGTGCACCTCAGATCTTTGCAATTGAAACCTCTGAGTGGCACTGCAATAGATGGACTTTGTGCCCTTTATAGTTGACGTCAAGTGTTAAAAGTCACATTGAAGTTATGTCCTTTATATACAATAATAATATTGTTTATAATTTGTTTTAAAGAAAGAAAGAAAAATTAAGATTTTTTTTTAAATAAAAAGGCTAATTAAATTACAATGAGTGTTTCTATATAAAATGTCTCATGTGTATTTAATTTTAACAAAAATAAACTACTTAATACCAAAAATATATTATTTTAATTATTTCTTTCTTCTAACAGTGTTTGCCCTCAAATGCCTTTTCAAAGAAATAAGGTTAAAAATTAAACACCGTATATTTCAATGTGGTATATTCACTATACACAGTCAGTTTGATAGTAAAATGAAGCTTAAAGTACATAATATAAAACTTCCTTTAAGTCATTAATATACTTATATTTACTTCATATTAACTTACACAAATAAGAAATAAGTACAAAATGTTTAACAAAAACTTTTTCACAACTATCGCAGCATTCATTACATTGTTTCAAACTTTTAAAATAGTAAGTCTTTTACCGTTACAAAGTTAGCGCTAATTTGTAACACAGTTTTTTTTTTCTTTCATTTCCATATGGTAGTGAAATAGATCATATTTACTTGTAATTGTTCTTCAACTCGCAATTATCACAGCACTGAATTAATAATAAATTAATATCAAAGTCTAATAGCTCCAGACATAATTTTTGCATATTCCTCGTTACCTAGCGGTACGTATTTGTCCAATTTCGCATCTAAGTAAAATAACTTATCTGTAACTACAGCCGGATTGTACCCCTCTTTTTGTAAGTCTACTTTCCTCATTTTGAAAGTACCTGAAATTGCAAAACATAAAGTTAAATTTAGATGAAATTATAATATTGGATCATTTTTAAAATTCATCGCTCAAAACTCTCCCACATCCAAAGAAGATTTCTTTATGAAAAGTAAACATAGTTCAGAAGATTATTGTGTAGTGTAAATAAATTATTTTTGCTTGATAAATGGCTGTTACGTCGTGAATAGTATTTAGGGGCAGTATCAGTAGAGCTCCTTGTGAAAGAGTTCGTCCAGGGAAGTACTGCCTCCTTGCCTATTTCTGCAGTGCACTTCGAATCTTTGCGATTTCAAACTCTGAGTGGCACTGCAACTGTTATGGACAGGCGTGTCGTTCACAATCAGGCGCACGACTTGTTCTTCCTATCACTTAGTATCATAAAAAAAAGGTACCTAGGAATGATAAGTCTGAGGTTAACATAAGTGAAGCTAATTAGATAACAATATTTAGGCTGACACTTGAACATAGACCCTGCTCTATTGATATAAACGCAACTGTTATATTTGTAATAGTAATACTTGTTTTATCGCATAGATATGTACTGTTAGTGTGAGTAAAGTACATTTACCTTTAATAAATGTAATCTTTAACAAAACAAACAACCTTTTACTGGACATTCATGCATGGATCATTATTCGAAACCAAAGATTTGCCATAGTATTTGGTTTTGGAAATTTGCCATAATCGCCACTCCTCTTGACTGACAGGTTATCGATCCCGGTAGACTCCGCTCTCTGTGTTACATTCTATCTCCGGCACAGGGATACGCTTCTTTCAGGCTCTAGATGTATCCCTTGATCTAGTATAGATCAGATGCATTTATTATATCCTAGACAACAGAAGTCTTATACAGCGCATTACTTACCAGTCATGTCAACACTGGTCATTACCCTGAAGAAAACGGGCCTCGCGTATTTGGGCAGGTCCTTTGCGATCGCTTTGTTCAATTTATCCAAATCTAGAGAGTCATCCGTGTCTACGATACCACACATGCCGGCGCGGCCTTCTATATTCGGAATCTACATTGAGAAAAAAATACGTGTAAGATCAGAGGACAAAAAGTAACGACAATGGACACTCTCCGTCCCTCCCTAATTTCGATACCGCACCACGCCCCGCACATTGACGGTCACATTGACTGAACGACAACAAGGCTGTCGGCGAGCCGTTTTTGCGCTAAGACGGCTTTGATGTTTGAATATAGTTTTCATTTATTTACTACGAAACGTGTACGTTAATATATAACATCATTGTACGTTACTATTTATAGTCGAATTGTGCCGTACACAGCACAATTCTCGATATATGTTTATCATTATCTAAACAGGACAAAGAGATGAATTTCTTTCTTTTCCGAAAGATGAAACGAAGATAAAAAAAACTTGATCTTAGGGTCGTATTCCAGAACTCTACTCAATGCTCAAGTCAGGACTTGAGCAGACTTGAGTATGATTTCAAGCACTGGAAATACGACCTTAATGGCAAGGACTTGAGTATGATTTTCAGTGCTTTAAATCATAATCAAGTCCTGGCTTAAGCATTGAGTAGAATTCTGGAATACGACCCTGAGACTCATTCAGTTTTTGTTTTCTTCATTTATTTAGTACAGAGTAATGTATAATACAGAAGTTGTAGCAACTTGGTGAGCTAGTAGACAAACGTTCTCGAATTTTCAATTTGTATTGCCGATAAATATTACGTAGTGAATATATCCAATTATTGACTAGGTAATAATAAACTTGGACACGCAATTTCAAATACCTTGGTTTAACTTATTTAAAATTACTTGTCCAAACTACAACACTTTAAGTGCTTTTAATATATTTTTTAAGTAAATCTTTAATATTATTCCAGTTAGTGAATTAATGAAAAATATAATATTATATCGATATAAATAGCTAACGAACATACTCGTATGTAATTATTAGGATTCTATTAATATTATTAATTATTATATGTAATTATTAGGATTCTATTAATATAACAGATTCGCTTTAGAATTTTCGTTGTTGCCGCTCGACCACGTAACGTAATTGTACGAGAAAGTGATGGGTAACTCTGCCACTTCACGCACACATTTGCGCGTGTGCAGATAGCGCCGTGCTGTATATAGTAGTAGTAGGTAAATAACTTTCGACCGTTGTATACAGTATCCGGGGTATGTGTATGATGTTAAGTCAGATAAAGTTTAAACTGTACTTTCACTCAACAATTTTTTGGGCTACGTCAGAAAATTCAATACTATGATCCCTTCTTTTAGGAAACTATGTCAAAAAACACTTGATGTGATACATGACTCCTTACAATGAACGTATTATGACAAGTGATTCGATCCACAAACTGTGAGTACTTCGGTAACAGCCTATTTCAAACCATAAAACTACGACAACAGCAGTTTAGCAGTAAAAGGAAAATTCTCACAAAATCATACCTCTACACCATAAACAACGGCGTCTCTCTGATCAGCACATCTGGATATCGCTGCCTCGACTTCGGTGGTACTGACGTTCTCTCCTCTCCAGCGGAAGGTGTCGCCAGTTCTATCTTTAAAGTACAAGTAACCTAGGTCGTCAGATATTAGAATATCACCTGAAAATAATAAACAGTATTAGGTAGATAAGTTTATGTTATATCCAGATTAAATAATTCTGACCGCTGGATTTGAAATCCGTTCAGTTTTTATTAATATTTATGTATACTTTCAGGATGTCGCATGAGATAATATTTTACAATGATGTTTCCGTATCTCGTTTATCATTATGCACTGTCTTATGAAAGATACAAGAAGATATACCACCTCAAAAAGTAAAAGTGAATTGGTTATTATGTATAAGTCTTTACCTGAAATGAAAGCTGAATCTCCATGAGCTAAGACGTCTCTGACTATCTTTTTCTCAGAAGCCTCTTTGTCAACATAACCGAGGAAAGCCCTTGATGGGTTATTGGGCTGGATCTTTCCGATGAACACTCCTGGCTCATTTGGTTTTGCCAACTAAAAACAAAAAGTCAATACTTAATCAAGTTTCTAGCATGTGTGCCAAAATACACTGGTTTTTATTGTTGACTATGGCTGCGCATCGCTGGCTCTCTGATCGTACTGAAAATTTGTCGGATGAGCAGTTTATAGCTGCTGCGATATTATGGACGCTCACTAATAAAGCGCTGTATAAGGTTTATACTTTCGCTAGAAGTCTGTTGTAATGTAAGCATGAACTCAAACGATTGGCGCTTACGTAATAAGTGTCATCGAAATGGAATGATAATGTTTTACTAGTAGACATTTCACTGTTTATCAAATACCATGTAAAGTACCGTGAACGTTGATACGTATGTATACAATTATGTGTAATACAAGTGCGAGCAATCGACGGAGACAGCTAAATCAAACTTTAACACAACATCTGAATCAGCCTCGTGTTCAATGAAAGGAAATTAAGTTCATTGGCTATCTTAATAGTAATAGCTCAGTATAGCGCGCCTCCTAAGCCAAAGGCTAACTTACTGGCCCTCTTAATAGATAGCAATGTAATGTCTATGTGACATTGAACTCCTCCCTGTTTTCTTTGGAGTCAACGTGTGATTACGTGTGGGTTGGTGCTGGCCTCCAGGAAGGGTGACAGAAACCACATTTAAAGAGTCTCTTACTAAAGCAGTAAATTTCGAGAGTCATCAGTCGTCAATGCGCGCCATTTCGCCCGGTCCTCTGCTCGTTACATCCATCTGCTGCCAGCAGTCCTTCGCAAATCGTCACTTCATTTGGCCATAGGGTGTCCTACACTACGTTTACCGAGCCGTGATCTCCACTCAAAAACTCGCTTCCCCCATCGGTTATCGGTTCTTCGACATATATGGCCAGCCCACTGCCATTTCAGCTTGCTTAATCTACCAGCTATGTCGGCGGCCTTAGTTCTCTGTCGGATAAACTTGTTCCGTACATTGTCCATCAAAGAAACTCCGAGCATACCTAGTTCCATAGCTCGCTGAGCGACTTTCAAGTGGTGAAGTAACCGTATCGTGAGTGTCCACGTCTCGGCACCGTATGTATCTAGAACGCACTGATTGAAAACCTTTGTTTACAAGTTTTGCGGTATTAGAGATTACCTCAAGCAAATCCATAAAAACTATTTAAAAACATGTACCTACATATATACGACAACCTCTGGGTGGTCCAAGGGTTTACACTGTGGACGCTGTAAGAGAAACTGGTGTGGGTTTTCTAGTTAGTATCCTAGAGTGAATTCCGTTGCTCTGGTACTTGTGGTACAGAGAATTCCTTAATTTGAGACCAGGTAATTTTGAGTGGTTGTGAAGCATACCTGACACAGTCCACGTTTATTTCTGACAGGTTCGCCAGTTTCAGGATCAACTTTAAGAATGGCAATGGGATATACGGCTGGAATAATTCTCGATATAAATCCTATAGCTCCAGTCTTATTGTCCACATTCACTGTAACAAAAGATATGACGTTTTAAAACCAGTTTCAGATTATGGACACGACTATGCAAAGATTTGTTCCGGTTAAATTATTTCAAAAGATTGTTATGAGATGTTGACTAAACATTCTTACCTATGTTTGCATTTCCTTCCGTCGCACCATAGAACTCGACGACCCTTTTGATGTTGAAACGTTTGACGAAATCCGTCCAAATCTGGAAGTGACAAATCTCATTAAGTCTATCGTTATTTAGATAGAGTAATGGTAGGGTTTATATTTGAGGTTGTTCATTTAATACCAATTATCGACTAAAAAAACCCATAACATACGTACAACAGGTCTCATTCCATTGCCGTATACTGTTCGTACTGTATGTTGCTTGTCAGTTGGTGATGGAGGGGTCGCCAAGACGTATCGGCACATCTCTCCAATGTAATGGGCCGCCTAAATAACAGTTGAATGTTATATATGATATACAGTACAGGGTAACAATTAATTGATTTGTGTTCAAAAAGTTTAAAATTACTATTCCGATTTAACTCAAAACTTACCGTGGCTTTGTACTTGATACAATCAGGGAAATAAGCAGAAGCAGAAAACTTTGTCCTTATGACGACAGTACAGCCGAAGATGAAGGCTTGTCCAACGGTAACGCAGCCGCCAGCGGAATGGTACAACGGCATGGGGCAGTAGATGATGTCACTCGTTTTAAGGAAACCGAGGTAATGTAGTCCGGAGGACATGAAGCACATTCTGCAACAGAATAGAAAGATTCTTTAAGTACTAAATGCTGTAACGAAATAAGTATAAATGTTGCATAAACCTTTCTTACATCAGTTTTCAACATTCTCTCCAGTTTAGTACATATTGTTACCGATTAAGATTGACATTGAAAAAGGACAAAAACAATTACCTAGAAGAAGAAATCACAGCAGCTTTCGGTAATCCAGTAGTTCCAGAAGTATAAATGTAGGTCAGCTTGCCATTAAATCCTTCACTATCTGATTGGAACCATTGGCCAGGTTGGGTAGCTTCTAGCATAGAAGTGAAATCATTCGTAGAGTCAATGACTTGCACGACATTGGATGACGTGTTTAGTGGACGGCGCTTATATTTTAATAGTTTAATAGCAGGATTGAGTTCTTTCTTCATTTCTTGTATAGCTGGAAAAATGTTTTATTGCCATTAGCATGTTTCTCGTGGGTCGTACTCACGTCAAGCTCACATTCAAGAGGGTACGTTTTAGAAAGTGTTAGATTAGTTTTCGCTGTCATTTTTAGTTACACATGCTTGTAAGATTCAATTATTGTTTAGCAAAAAAAGAACTTACCTATATGGATAGCATGCATTATAATGTCACGTATAAAGCCTTTAATTATCTAATTATAATTGCTCACCATCCTCATATTCGCTTCCGTAAATGACAGCGTCGCACTTGGCAATGTTAATGGAATGTAACAAAGCGTTGCCAGTTTGATTGGTGTTGATCAGTGGTGATATACCACCAATGCGGGCAGTCCCCAACCATGTAGCAGGCATTTCAGGGCAGTTACTCATGAGGACACCAACTGTGTCTCCTCGCTTTATACCTTGAGCTTTGAGCACGGCAGAAACTCGTAAACTGAAATCTTCTATCTGAAATTTAGAGAAATAATCATGAGGTCGAAAAAATATTTGCGATATAAAATCATTCTGCGACCTATAGGGACATTGCTTTACATTTACCTAACAGTTGCCGTCCTATAACTTTCTGCAATGCAGGATAGAGATACAAATCAGTTTCCACAACAATTTTCGGATGCTTCAATTAAAGAAGTACCTAACGTAGTGATGTAATAAATGTAATTCCTGCTATTTGAACGACAGGTAACATTAAAAAACATGAATAAGTAATTAACGTTTTAGTTGGTACAAGTACTCGTAGTTTGAATTTGTAAATTTAAAGATTTTGTATCGCAATTAAATTACCTATAGAGAAAATTAATAGATTTTCTTCAAAAAATACGAGTTATGCAATCATCATAAAATTACAAGTATGGAATTAAAGCCGATAGCCTTTACATACATAATTTCGATATGAATACGAAGTTAGAAAATTAAAACTCTATTTGCACAACTTCAATTGATTAAAATATTTTTAATTAAACAAATTTCATTAAACAACCAACTCTAATGGGAGACCGATTTACATAATATATTGTATTACGATTTCTAATGTACCTGCTGGAAAGTCCAAGTTTCATCTTCGAAGAGGAAACATGCTTTATGAGGATGTTTCTTGACCATCTGGTGGAAGATATCAGGCATTGACCAGTTCCTCTTTGAGAAATTCTTCGTTAATCTCAATATTTTTATATAGCACCATAGGGCACTGAAATAGAATATTTAGATTGGTTTAGTTTCTCTATGATGTTTTATAATTAAATATATATCGAGTTCTTAGATTTTCGCTGATGATTTTCTTTGAAAATTAAATTACTTAGTAGCAGTAGAGCTCCTTGTGAAAGAGTCCGTCCAGGTTAGTTACCTATTTGTGCCGCCAATCAGTAATATCAGCATTACTGTGTTCCGGTTTTGAAGGGTATAGGTGCTGGTGAAATTACAGGCACATGGGACAAGTCAAATTATGTCTCAGGGTGACGGGCGCAGTGGTAGTGCCCCTCAGATCTTTGCAATTTAAAGCTCTGAGTGGCACTGTAACTGTTATGGACAAACACGTAGCTTAACATCACGCGCACGACTTGTTCATCCCGTCACTTGATGTTATAAAAAAAAAAATTCCGAGTCTAAGGCTCAACTCACACTGCGGCAGAGTCGAAGCGTCGCGACGCGTCATGTTTTTCGCCTATAGCATATTCGTCTGTATTTTCCAATTATTAAGGTACAAATTTGTGTTTTGCAAATATGGAATCAAGCGGCGACGTGCGTCGCCGCGCGTCACTTGGGCGCCGTGAGGCGTCAAACACCGACCAAACTGTGATCCTAAGCCTCCTAAGAGTTGAGCCTAAGTCATGCATATCTATATCAGTCAACCGCGATCATGTGACCTGTAACAATACGCTATTTAGGTCCAGAAAAAATAGTGTCGTTTTCGATTAAATAGATATCTATTCATTGATATTTTAAACATGTTGTTATTGAGATTGTCCATTGCAATAGTGTAATGTAAAACGCAGGGAACAAAGTAGTTTTAAATAGAGACATTATTTAAACCCTCCAGCCGGATGTGATTACAAAGTCGTTTCAATTTTATATGGTAGTCACGATCAGCAATCATACGCAAAAAGAGCATATTAAAAATACTTACGACATGTCCCGTTTAAAGGTCCTAATGGCAATATAGATCCATTTCAAATTGAATAGTATGAGGTATGCAAGCACAAGACTACCAAAGACAATCAGGCTGGTCTGCCAGTCTTTGAACACCCATGCGACTGTGCACCCAGCTACGAGCACTCCAAATGCGATAAGCATTGCTATTATTTTTGCCCAATTCGTAGGATCGTCTTCAAATGTTACTTTGCCTTTCTCTGCATCTTTTACACTCGTCATCTGAAAAAACAATAAATTTTAGAGTATGTATAATTAATACAAAAATCGAACACAAAGAAAAATACCTTCGACCCGATAGAACTTGAAACTGCCAACTAAGCTACAGAATAGATATACACATAGAAAAATTTCGTCGACCTACTAACTCAACATGCTATTGCAGTTGGTACGTTATCGTACGGTGGGTCGACGTTGGTTCAAGTCCAATCGGGTCTTTATGTTTTTTTTAAATTATTAATTATAACAAACCAGTGGAGTTATTTCACAAAAAATATATGAATATCACGGTGGTTAAAAATCGTGAAATTCGATAAAAAAATCTATAATTAGAGTATGTAGCATGTCGGCTATACCAACAACAAATCCATTTTGTACATAAAGATGTCTGAACCAAACGTTTAGAAAATCTCTTAATAACTTCACGCGATTACTTCTCAACAATTCTAACGTACGTTACTCAATAAGGACGATTACAATAATTATAAATTAGAGTAGCAGTAGCTCTTGTGGAAGAGTGCGTCCAGGGAAGTGCTGCCACCTTACCTATTTCTGTCGCCAAGCAGTAATGTGAGCATTATTGCGTTCCAGTTTGGAAGGGTAAAGGCTGGTGAAATTATAGGCACATGAGGCTTGTTAACTTAAGTCTCAGGGTGACGTGCGCAGTAGCAGTGCCCCTAACATCTTTGCGATTTAAAACTCTGAGTGGCACTGCAAACGTTATGGATAGGTGTGTCGCTTACCACCATGCGCACGACTTGTTCGTCCCGTCACTTGTATATCTTCTATATATATTATATACTGAAAAATTTGTGGAATTTCATCTATTTGTCAAGTTTTATGGCAATCGATTAACGGAACGGTTGGGTGAAATCCAACAAACCAGATTCATCCCCTAATTTGCCACCCTTCGAGGTGGAATATTTTGTTCAAATTTGAACCCCGTTCAAACAAAAAAGAATCATCGAAATCGGTTGATGAATATCGGAGTAATCGCGCAAAATACACACAAAACCAAAAAAACAATCGAATTAAGAACTCTGAAAAAATTATCGATTTAAACTGCAAGGCTTGAGATGTGTCGGTGTTAAATTATTATCACAATATGTATATCAGAAATGCAAAAACAACGTACACGTTATGTGGTGACGACTCTTGCTTGTGCTGATTATAACCAAAACCATTGTTCACACTATTGTTGTTCCATATACGCACATAAATCAGCGCGGTTATTACACCTATACACTGTAGGATGTAACTACTTTAATAGTTTATACATATAACCGCAAGGCTAACATAATCAAAATTGAATCATAGGCTATGCTAAGCTAATGCAATTCAAAGTCGTTCAAGACCTATTTATAAATTTTAAACATTTCACATTACTTAATTAAATAAAAAGCTTTTGTTATGAGATCGTTACTTAGTTGTAAGACATTATAAAAACTATACCTTGTACGTTTATAATTCTTGTGTCAGTTAAGTATGTATTTATTTTAATTACACATTTTACGACTGGGTTCGTTTTCAATTTCAAATCATGAGTGTTTTATAACATTTGTTTAAAAATATGAGTAGAATCATATACGTATAGCATCATAGATCATTTGTCGATCTCAGTGGCCCTACAGATTGCAATGTGGGAGCTGAATGAGGTCTCGGGGTCGATTCCCGATAAGATCAATTTGGGACATGAACTTTTCTAAATAGATTTTGGTCTGGGTGTTCTAGGTTCTAGCACCCCGGGGTGAATTCGGCTATTCCGGTACTCATCATCTTACATCAATTTCCCTAGTTTGAGACCAAAGTCCCCAGTCTGATAATTTTCTTGAAACCACCATACAACCACCACAAAACCACTGTTCATTAAAAGTCCATTGAAACTCGAACTCCACTGAGATTATACGAGTATTGCAGTTATGATAATATCGACACCAGAAGTATCAATTACTCGTAATGTGACGGCCAAACCACGGTTTTTCAGGAGAGCCAAAAACCTATTTCATTTTTTTAAATCTGTTTATAATTGTCTGCTCCAATTTTGATTGTGTCTGTGAGCAAAGTTTATTAGAATTTCCTCTTCTTTCATGCTATATACGAAAGATTTAGGAATGCCCAGTGGTTTAAAATATAGCATGTCCCTTACATTAAAAATGATATTTAGCTGTGCCTTACGTTACTAATATTTTATGTGTAAACCATCGAGCATAGT